ACACACACACACACACACACACACACACACACACACCGCTTCCCTCACTGCACACACACACACTCTCTGTTCTTCCTTTATTACACACACACACACACACACATGCTCAGTCACTCTCCTTGCCTCATTGCTCTATCTCTCTTTCCCCCTCCCTCATTGCACAAACACACATGCAGACACAAATACAGACACACACACCGTCTTTCCCTCCCTCATTGTATGGACGGACAGACATGGACACACAGACACACGCAGTGTACCTCTCTCACTACACATGCACACACATCCCTTCCCACTCCTGGCCCTGGGGTACTGGCATGGCCCCACAATTGGGTGATGCAGCTGGGGGCCACGTCAGGGGTGACTCATGCCTTCTGAGTCTGAGGGGGCAAAATCTGTGGGTAGGTCCAGATGCGAGCCAAAAGCCCCATGTCCACTCCCATACTTCTGTGCCATGGCTTAGTGCTCCCCACAAACACACCGCCAGTCTGTGTGACAAAAAAACTGCCCCACTTTTGGGGGCCAATCTCAGGGGGGGCACGTGCCCCCCTACCAGTCGCCTGTGGGCCACGTGGTGCTGGAGCAGCTGCAGGCAGAGACTTCCGGTTGGAGGACAGGGGTGGGAGAAGGTTGGGGGTGGGATGGGGTGGGGCCAGGCTGGTGAGTCCTTCTGCCTTCCCCTGGGGCCTACTGCCCCTGGCTCCTCTCATCTTTGACAGGCAACAAGGAGCAGATAAATATTATTCTTCTAAACTTTTTAGGTACCCTGTGGGCCAGATAGAATGGCTTGGTGGGTCGAATCCAGCCCACAGGCTGTATTTTGCACTAGAATGAGGTGTGTTATGGAAGAGGGAGATATGATGACATGGGGGTAATTTTTCAGGTCTGCACATTCCTTAGTAAACAGTAAAAATTTGTTTTGTTTTAACTAAGCAAAGTTAGCAGAAGAGTAGGCCTTTGCCTTTGAAATCCACCATCTGGGATAGAATAGCCAAACATTTGCATAGGAAAGAATATACTTTACCAACCCTGCAAAGCCTTTTACCTCTCTCTTTCATAATTTGTACATGGGGGCTGAATCTTGCTCATCTCTAATTTTTAATGAGAGTTCATGCTGTCAAACACGTGTAGACAGTTATAGCAGCCCCCGCTCCCCATGATCAAGCTGAATGCAGAGTACTGTATCTTGTTCTCTTAATATCACTGATTAAATCATCCCTTCCAACCTCCAGATCACTTTATTCTTCTTTGGTGTCCGCCCAAAGTATGTGCTAGAAGAAGCTTTGTGTGTATCATGATATTTAAGTCATCAAAGTGAAATGTATATTTCAACAGGACCTACTGCTCTCAGCACCCCCTGGGGTCTTCCCTTTGCGGTACTCTTTGCTCTCTCATTGTGAGATGGCAAAGGGATATCATGATTCACTAAGGGACTATGGGGTAGATTGATGTCTAAAGGAAATTCACTGAGTTACAAAATAGCATCAGTCTGTGGAGATAGCGAACACGTGATTCTTGACCCTTGTTGTCCCAGATAAGCAAGTAGGAAACTAGAAATGCCAACATGCTGCTCTTGAGAAATTGCACTGAGGAAGTTTAAGGAGTTGATGAATTTTGAAGGAAGCCATTTCCAGGCTTTCCTCAGAAGAAGGCTGATGGCTTTGGGGTGGCTGGGGCATTTTATGGAATGGTCTCAGTCACTTTTCCCTATCCAGAGCAGCTTTAGCTTTGTCTTACCTATTTTCCAATCTCCACAACTACATCCTAACAACCTAAAATTTATCTGTCACTTCCAATTAAAGAGTTGGTTTTCATTTCTTTTCCTGTGACTCTGCTGTCCAGTTTTCCTGGTACAAATGTCTGCTGCATTTCACACTAGAGGCAGTAATATTTTGTTTGGGGTTGAACAAAAACATTCAGGAGGTTAAGAGGACAGAGAGAATTCTGACATTAATTCTACCACCATGGTATACATCTCCATTGATAATTTTTTGTGCCTTCTCCTCTTTGTTGTGAAGCCCAGCCCTTTGATGCAAGTTGTCAACAAGTGCCAGCCTGGTCAAAGAAGCCTACACATCGAATCCAGGGAAGCTGTACGTGGATCTATGTCCTTGAAAGGTAAGGAATTGGGAGGTAAGGAGAAACCTTCCCTGTTTTGTTTAGAATTTCTAGGGACTCCCTGTCTCGAGTCTCATGTAATAGGTGTCTTATGGTGAACTTACATTACAAGTGAGAGAGAAAATCCCATTGACATTAGTTGACCTAATAAATTGGAAGTGCTCATGTGTAACAAGTTGTGCTTGTTTTGTTTTGTGGTTTTTGAGTGTTTCTTGATGGCTGAATAAATGCAGTTGCTTCTTGAAGGATTAGTTTTGTTAGTGTGTTGCCGCTGCCTCCTATTATTTTACTGAAACAGTGTTGTCGCTGGCTAGAAATAGTTACTGCTGAATGAAGCAGACCAGCTGTTCTGTAATGTGTCACACTTTTTCCCTGCCCAGCCAGACTGGGGCACAGGTTAGGCTGAGCAGGGGAAACTCCACAGAAGTAATAGGTAACTGCTACAATAAAGTGTCAGAATCTATTACCCTCTTTTGCGCCACTGTTTCCTTTTGTGTGGTGCTGTTTCCATACTATACTGATCAAGAAGTATTGTGTCAAATGGTAAGGAGATACTAGACAAAGACAACTGGTGTTTGTGTCTTGTCCCAGGTGGCAGGGCCCTGCCATGTGATCTGCAGTTTAAAAAGAATGATGAAGAAAGTGGTTTGAAGCAGACCCAACATGTGCTGGAGACAAGACGGCCAAAGATCACTTTGCTTCAAAAAGAGGTGATATAGCATGTGGGGAGGGGGTGGGAAAAGTTGTGATAGTTTTCCTCACCTCATGTACAGTGCAGATCTGCTAGTAGCTTGTTGAAATACGACCTAATCCATGTTGCTGATGCCGAAGTGTCCTCTTAATTCCAGAAAGAAATCTGGGGGGTCCTCACCAGCTGCTTTATGTATGTGATAGTGGTGATGTGGGAATCTTGCATTAGTTAACATGGACCAAGACTTGCTTCCCAGTTCACTTCCACATATCTTGCCTCTACAAACTGTATAGCAACCAAAAAGTGGATGGCAAGCCTTTTATTTTCTCCTTTAGTACCCTCTTCTAGGAGAAGTACTACTGCAGAACTTAATTAAACTCTCAACACATTTATATTATTTGGGAGCCTCACTTTCACATTATGGCACTCTGGATTTGTTTTCTGTCTTTCCTGTTTGGGTGAGGATAATGCTGACATCAGTTGTTCTGCATTTTCCTTGAAAGGGTCTCATCATCACTTTCTCACTGGAAATTTCAATCTTTCTTATGTCAGACACTTTTCCTTCCTCACTAAAATGGCAACCTCTTATATCTTGGGGATGTCTCTTGTTTTGCATATTACCCCTGTTTACCCAAGTAGCCAGCTTGGGTTGTGTAAGTTGCTTCAATGAGGAGAAGAAATGGATAGTGGAGTCAAGCATTCCTTCAATGCAGTCTTGTTTATTTATTAAGAATGTAAAAATTCCTCTTTCCCTAAGTACAGGAGGAATTAAACAACAGGAGGTGATTTCCTTGCTGTTTACATTGGCATACAACCAAGTAGCTCTCTCTCCAGACTCCCACTCACATTTGTCCAGCTGCATTTGGAGCTTACTTCCCTGTCCTTTTCTGTGGTACTTCTTGCTCCTCTTCTTCAGACACATGGACAGCTCTACTCAGACAGCAGGTAGTTCAAATTCTTGATCTGACTTGCAGATGCCTCACAAGTAACATCTGCCTTTATTTGGTTTGAGACCACCCTGTTGTTCCTCCCAATTGTTCTGACAGGCAGCTCTCCAGGCTGCCAGGCTGTGCTCCTCACTGCCTGCATGCTGCGCTACAGCTGCATTCACACACGGGCATTTATCGGCCAAATTATTGTCCGCATCAGGCCGATTTCCAATACATACTGATTTGAAATATCTTCTGTTGCAGGACTGGGCCTGGAATCCCCTTGTGACTGTTGCATATTCATTTTCCTATGTAAAGGGGCAGTCTGAGAAATTTATTTTTAGCCAGCCTGACCCATCCATCTGCTACAGCCTATGTGGCAACCACAGCAGCCAGGTGCCATTCAGACCTTATCATAGAAAAAGTGATAATGGATACAGACCATGGAGAAAAGAACAGAACAAAATATCAGATAGAAAGTACTGGGGCATACTGAAATTTGTGGGAATTGTGCACTTGCATCTGAGAGGCTGATTTGGCCTGTGAATTTAAAAAGCCAGTTAATGTCATGCATAACCACGAAAGTAATAACAGTGACAAAAAGACAACAGTTTTCATCATACACAGACTGGAGGTTTTAAGAAATAGGTAGACTTGGTAATGCAAGGTACTTTTAAAAAGAAAGGGAGAAAAATAACCATCAATGAATCATCGCACGTGGTTTAAAGCTACAAAATTAAAGAATGTTCTTATTGGGTGCATCATTGTTGTAAAGTTAAAACCTGGAGGTAGCAGAATCGGTAAATAACTTTTTCAATCATGCTGCTCTACCTATCTACTGAGAATTAAAGAAAATCAGTGTAAACTTTGTGAGGCTGTTGAGGTCTGAATATGTTTATATGAATTGTACAAAATGTGTTCCTGATCTTTTCTGGCCATCAGCTTGACAAGTGTGTGGAAAACAAATTAAACAAGATTCTTTTTGTGCTTTGGACATAAGCTCACTTGCTGAAGCAGCAGGCCAAAGCTAAGGGTGGAAAACTGTATAAAAGCATGATGTTTGCAGCACTATGACATAACCAGTTAGAAAGAAATACTCCTGCTAATTGAGAGCACTATGCAACTTAGAATTTTCCAGACGTGCCAGTTACATAGAGATGCAATACAAATGCTAGATTGGCACCTACCACAATACATTCTTTTGTTTAGGTTTTTCTCAAGATAAAGCTCTAAAGATGTTTTTGTCAGCACTGTTTCTGATCTGTTGATGAGCATACCACAATGCAAATATGAAAAAGCTTGTAAACAGCACATCCCAGAGGTGTAGCAGGCCACCTGGGGAAGCTGTGCCAGTTGCGCCCTTCCTGCAGTAAAGGCAGCATCTATGGCTGCTGCCCCAGTTGCCTTCCTCCCCAATCCTTAATTACACTGCTAGTACATCCTGTTTGTGACCAGTGAATTGTAGAATAATCCAGAGGTTTCAAGTCTTCTACTGACTGTATTTCAGTGGTGCTCAATCTCTAGCCTGTGGGATCACATCATCCAGCCTGTGGGGCTCCCCTCAGATCCAGAAATTTGGTGATACACTACAGCATTTTTAATTAGTCATATATCCACTGTGGATTGTGTGTCAGCTCCAAATTGTCTACCTGTGAAGAAGGCAGCGTAATAGTCCCCCTTCTTTGACCAAGTGGTCAGCCAGTATTTGGGGTTTGCGGGATTGTTTCCATTAGTAGAGGAGAGTGACGATAGAGCCAGGAGTTTCTGCATTGACATTCTGTTTAAACAAAGTGTTCAAAAAGTCTTTTTTCCATGTCCAGAGAAAAAAATGAGAGGCAGTTTCCTTGTTTAGAAATACAAGACTGTTTTTCCAGCAAGAAATGTAGCCAAAAGAGGTTTTGACATTGGGGTTCCTTACCTCTCCTCCTCCTCACCACTGCTTTAGAGGTGCATCGATACATTGATCCAATATCAGATCGGCACCGATATAAAGGAAATTGGCTGTATCAGAAATTGGTCTGATGCAGATGATAATTTGGCTGATAAATGCCCATGTGTGCGTGCACCATGTGTGCTGCATGCAGGCAGCGAGGAGCACAGCCTGGCAGCCTGGAGAGCTGCATGCAGCTGGTCTGTCTGTTGTAGTGGACAGGGATGGGGGAGGGAAGGGGCATGAGGGGGCAGATCAACGCCCCCCCCCATCGTGAGGGATGGAGGGAGTGAGGCAAGGGTAGACACTGCCCAGCCGGGGGCGGCGCAGGGCACGGGATGGAGCTGCAGCTAATCTGGGGGGTGCAGGGGGGGTGGCTCCTGCAGCTGCGCACACCCCGGGAGGGCACGGGGGGCAGGTGTGTGTGCCTCTGGATCTATGCAGGGCAGGGTGGGTGGGCAGCAGCTGCAGGCTGGAGCTGGGGCTGCACTGGGCTCTTCTCTGTGGGGACTGGGCTTGGGGTAGGCAGTGGCAATGCTAGTAGTGGGGCTATGGTGGGGGCTATAGCCCCCGCTTCCAGCGCTGCCTGCCCCAAGCTCAGCCGCTGCTGAGAAGAGCCTGGCACAGCCTCGGCTCCATCCC